ATTGTTAGTTTAATTAGAAGTAAAGGATTCTCTCCAGCATATCCCTAAACACACAGTATTAGGAGCCGTGATTAAAGGCAGCTACAGAGACGTGCCCAGTTCACAGGATGGGAACCCATGCTTAATTGCAGCAGACCTTGGGAACCTTCTTGACTGTATTTTGCAAAGGTTGGGGGTGGGCAAGGCTAATGATAATACAAAGGGAGTTTTATCTTGTGTCCTTGAGTACAGTGCCATCACAGCACAGGGCAGAACAGAAGTAACTCTGTACAAAGTTGGGAGCAGAAGCTGCTTAACAAAAAGGTTGCAGCTGAGTTTGATGTTAGTGTGAACTATTTCTATAACTGCTGCTTGGGACACTGAGCCCCATGAGGACTAATTTTTAAGGTGGTTGGGGTTTCCTGCAAACTGCTCTCTGTTATAATTGCTCTCTGCGGTAGCTTCAGTAGCTTCATTAGTTTTATCATTCTTCCTTGTCTGTTCAGGTATGATCCAGGCCCTTGGAGGTTTCTTCACCTACTTTGTAATCATGGCAGAGAATGGGTGGTGGCCTTCTGGCTTGTTAGGGATCAGAATTCAGTGGGATGACCGATGGGTTAACGATGTGGAAGACAGCTATGGGCAGCAGTGGGTAAGTTTTGAGGCACAGCTTAGAGGCTGGCAGTCAGAATACTAACGCCTGCTGAACTGGGTGTGAGCACCAGAGAGCCAAAGGCAATGTGTCTGAATGAATGCTCTCTGCTTTCCTTCCTAGACCTACGAACAGAGGAAAATAGTGGAGTTCACTTGCCATACAGCCTTCTTTGTCAGCATTGTGGTTGTGCAGTGGGCAGACTTGATTATTTGTAAGACCCGAAGAAACTCCGTCTTCCAGCAGGGGATGAAGTAAGTCAGGCTGTCCATGGAAGATGTAGAATTGGACTCTGTGTGTTCTCCAGCACCTAGCATTCTAGTTCTTCATCCCAGCAGTGTCTGAGCATCATAAGTCCTGAACAGACTGGTGCCTTAGTAATGGATAAAAAAGGTCTGGGCGCTCTTTTTCTTGTAGTACTTGCTACAGTCATAGGCCTGAGACAAAGAGAAATGCTGGCTTCTGTTGGCAATGTCTGTGGGAGCTAGCCCACCTCAAAGGACACTGACATACTCCAGCATACAGCCTTGATTTCCTGATCTCATACATCAAGAGATCTGGTGCCATGAACCCCAGCCTCCCTCTGAATTTGTGATGAAAGCAAGTGCTGGTTGACTTAGTCATGAACTGGTGTATCTCCATCTAGAGACATAAAAGACCCTCATGGCAACTGTGCCTGATAGTCCCCACCTGACAAACTTCTGGGCTAGACTGGAATGCCTGTTTCCATTCACTCCCATGTGGCAACTAGGTGTTTTTTAGGATCTCATCTCTGAAGGTACTTTGTCCCTGACTGCGTTCCTGTTTCTTCTAGGAACAAGATCTTGATATTTGGTCTCTTTGAGGAGACTGCTCTGGCTGCCTTCCTGTCCTACTGCCCTGGGATGGATGTTGCTCTAAGGATGTATCCTCTGAAGTAGGTTGCATTATGCTTTTTGTGCAGCAGACTGTACCACAGAACAATAGTGCTTAGGCGGGGAGATGGTTAAAAGTAGTTGGTGAGCTTGTGGAACATGAGACCTAGTCTTAACCCAGAAGAGTTCAGACTGGAGGGTGTGAATGATCCTTTGCTGAAGTGTGGCATACCAGGGTTTTCTTCACTGTATAGAGAATGTTTATGGGGAGCCTGCAGGTCAGTGCCCCACTAAAAATTATCAATACAACTTCAGTACCAGTGTGCTCTAGTACAGCTACCTCTTGTACTTACTTTCATGGAGTATTTTTATGGGTGGGGGGGACTGCACCTGCAAAGAAAGCCAGTTGAAATGCTCTAAATCATAGACCAGATCATTCTTCTGTACTAAAGAACTGCTGATGACATCTTGTGCCTTTTCCTGCCTTTCTCAGAAACAGCCCAAGTAGTAGTCTTTTGAAAGATGCTGTGTAGATGTAGATGACCAGTCAATGCATAATAACTTTCCTAACAGTTGGGGGGGTGCCAACATCTCAAGCTTGCTCAACAGCATTGCAACATTTCATGGCAGCGTTTAGTCTTAAACTTTGAACAGTTTGGAGTGTCATGAAATTTTCATGGCAAAAAAATCCTGGTACATCTTGTGTTCCATTCAGAAATGCTGTCTGGAGTTTGGTGCTGAAATGTGAGCATTTTCTAACAAGAAGGCTGGCCTCTGCCCAGTGCCTGGAGCAGCTGGATGTTAGCATGTGTAAATCATAAGGGTAACAATGCAGTTCCAGTGGGCAAGGCTGTGGGCACAAAGGTTATGTGTACTTAGAGGAAATACTGCTAGATTAATAGGTGGGGAGGGGTTGGTACAGAGGTGAGCAAAGGTGGTATGACACACCTTGTTTTGGAATTAATATACAAAAGTGGATTGACCTATTGCAGCAGAAAACCTGGTGGTAACTCTTGGCTTGGAGGGTTTTTGACTGAACTGCAGCCATGTGGGAGGTGTCACACTGGCAAGCTGAGACGTGCCAGCCTTCCTGCACTTGTATGTGCCATCAAGTCAGAGCTCTGCTAAGCAAAGAGCATCTCTTCAGCTTGTGTCTTCACTGTCTCCTCTCCCAAACAGGCCGACTTGGTGGTTCTGTGCTTTCCCATACTCCCTCCTCATATTCGTGTATGATGAAGTCAGGAAGCTCATTATCAGACACAACCCTGGTGGTAAGAATATGCTGCTCATCTGTGTTTCCTTCCCCACCTCTTCATGCTGCCGAGTTCTCTAGAAGCCTTGACAAAGCTTGAGGACCTCCAAGTACTGTGCAGGGGTGTATTTTGCTGTGTTTTCCCTTCCTCAACATTAATAGTGCAGTTAGTTCAAATTAAGGACTTCTTGCTGTTCCTGCATTCTCTCCCAGTATATGAAAGTACCAATGCACTGAAGTAGGTGGAAAAGACTGAGTAATGCCTGGGCAGTTCTAGAAAGCTGGAAGAGGTTCTATACTGGAAGCTGTAGAACATCAACAGTTTGTCAGGATTTTTTCATTGTGAAAGGTCACTCATTAGCTCAGGTGCTACAGTGCAAGTTTTCAGAGCCTGAAGACAACTGTCGTGAACATCATACTTGGTCTGCCTTAGGACTAACTGTTTTCTCCCTCCTTTTCCTTTAGGCTGGGTGGAAAGAGAGACCTACTACTAAAAAGCGCCTGTAAAACATTCCACGCACAGCCCATGCCACCTCTCCACCATCTCCCCTGTGTGCATACTTCCATCTTTGCAAGAGCAGAACTGTGCCTGGGCAGGAGTGAGCTGAAACTAAAGGAAACATGAAGAAACATGGACTGGAGGAGAAAGCAAGGGGGAGGTTGGGGTGGGGGGGAGTGTCCGACCGTCAGTCCAGGGGGATGAGCGTTTGAGTAGTTTTATGTGCCTTTATGTTTTTGTAAAAGGAAACCGAAGATTTTATATGTGGATTTTTACAAATAAAGATGGATTATAAGAGGATGCCCCCACATGGTCTTAGGTGGATGTTTTTCTCAAGGCAAAAACTGGTTCAGGGCAGCCTCCCCCCTGGCTTAGGGTGTGGTGGTAAGTGCAAGGATTAGTCCCTGGCTTCCCATTTTCGTAGTAGGGAAGCAGAGTTGCTTGATCTGCAGACAACAGCATGTGTGAAAGTGCATCTTACTCTATAGCTCAGTGCTTAATGTGACAAACTACTTGCAAAGACTTGCATTTCAAAGCCTAAAGCTCAGGAATGCTTCCTGGCTTCCACTGACTGGCACTGGGATCCAAGCAGACTTTTCTCAAAATTCTGAAACTGATTTTCCTGCTTGCTTTCCCAAGTGAGGGATAGTGTTTCCTAGTGTCCTCTGTGCATGCACATACTTGTTCCAACATGGCACTTGAATCCTGATATTGGCTTGTGCCTCCTGTGGAGTGAGGTTATAGGCTCATCATGGATTCTACATCCTCCACTTTTGAGAAAGGCAGTGCTGTTGTCTGGGGTCCAAGCTGTCTCTGGGCTGAAGTGAGTCATGCTGCTTCCCTCTGAATATCTAACCATTTTCTGTATGTTGTAATTTACTGTTAATGCCTGTATGGCTTGCTTCTGTGAGGACTTGGTGAGAGAGCTGGCCCTTTGCATGTGGACAGTCACCATGAAGTCCTAACTATTCATTGCTCCTAGTGCTGTTGTGCTAAAGGTATCTGGAGATGCTTGTTCAAGCCCTTGGTCCTATTCCTGAACTAATGGTCTGTGTCGCTCTTAGATATGTGTCTACCTCTGCAAAGGAACACTCTAAACCACAGCACTGAAAGGCTCTGCAATTAAAACTCCATCTTGTCATCCCTCCTTCCTCATTACCTTTTGTTTTTTTAAGGTGTTTGAAAGCCGGGTCACCTCATTCATGTACCTCATGTACTGAACAATATAAGCTCAAATAGCAAAGAGAGCACAAGGAAGGGAAAAAATGAGAGGCTGAAGCTGGCAACTGTTTTAATTTGTCTTGGATACTCTAATGTGGAACCCTCAGTTGGAGATAATTAAAAAATAAAGTCTTCCAAGTGTTGGAGTCTGCCCATGCTAACAGTTGACTTGATACAACTGGACTTGAGGTGATCCTAGTTGGGAAAGGGAGATGAGGAATTGTACTGAGGGAGGAAGGAAAATAGAAGTGGGATGCATTTTACTGCATCTGATGATGACTGAGGAGGAGTGATGCAGAAATGGCAGTCAGTCCACCCAGGCATGACCCTTAGTTGAACTTTTTGATTAGTGCCTGAGTCCCGCTGCAATGAAGTTGCAAAATCAGTATTGCTTTTCTGATACAGGAAGTAAAAAAAAAAAAAAAAAGGGTCCTGTCATTTCCCTGTCATTTCAGCTTTAAACAGCCTTAGCAGTGGGCTTCTTGCTAGGATAAAAGATGTAGGTGAGGAGAGAAGATCCTGGAGATCCAGCTACCTGCTCAGAATGCAGCCATTTTCAAAGCTTGGTCAGGTTGCTGATGGCCTGGTTGAGCTTAGATCTGAATATTGGCAGGGAGGACTGGGGTTCCATACCTCTGAGCATCTATGCCAGAGCTGAACCCATGCCCTGTGAGTTCACAGTGCTCCTCCCTGGGCTGTCCCTCTGCTGTAGTGTAGCTGAGGCTCCTTTGCAGCCAGGTCCAACCACATCTTGCAGGAATGCTTTTTGGCTGCAGTTGCTGCTCAGGAGTAACACCTCACCTGGACATCTCACACCAGACCAGGAGCATTTCTTGCATTTCATGCTGTGACTCATTAGTCCATCTTCCAAAAGAAAATACTCTGAAGCCATGACTGGAGCAAGCACTGACTAATGTTAAAGGAAAGTTTCACCCCACTGTGACAGCTTTAAGACCCTTGTCTGGATAAGGGACTGAGGGAGCTGTGACTGGGATCAATGAGGCTCTGATACTTGGGGAAGGGAGCAGGTAACCAGGGTGGTGAAAGCAACACAAGATGTTTTATATTGGCCCTAGATGTTTGATATTCACAGGCTAGGTAATATGCAGTAATTAGAGACAGCATTTACAGCAGCTTCTCCTTAGCGCAATGAGCTCTTGTCACATGGTTGAGCTCATCCTGACTTTTTTTCCACCCTCAAAGGGCAGGATGTGCTGGTGGCAACAGTGTCTCCTTTAACCTAAAATTACAAGGAAGTTTTTGCATGAGGGGCCCATGACTCACCTCCACGTGGCCAGCAAAGGGACCTGAAATAGCATCAGTCCCTGAGCAGATGGGCACAGAAGGGCTCCCAGAAGAGAAAGTTCACAGGGGATGGATGGACACCAGGCATGTGTGCCCAACTCATGCATATCCTTTGCTGGAGGTGGGGGCCTGAGTTAGAAGGATAAGGTCAGGACATAGGACCAGCTGGGGACGGTACCCACCAGGATTTGGGAGCCTCAGCAGACTTCTACAGAGCAGTTACCTCACTTAGTGCTAGGCTCTTGCAGAGGTGTTTTTTTTCCCCGGTAATCCTTCATTTTCATGAGACCCACCAATTAGCAAGAAGAAAGGCACTAGTCTCTCCTGGAGACCTGCTCTCCAGCACCATTCCTCAAGGGATAAAGTACTTTTACGCCAGATTTGACAGCAGGCAACTCTGAGCCCCTCCACAGTGCTCTCTTGCCCCTGACTTCATGGCCTGAAAACAGGAGGAGGGCAAAACATCCCCCTCCAACCTATTAGGCCTCTGAACCAGCTGATTAGCCAAAGCAGAAAGCAGATTAACCCCAATTAGGTGGAAATGTATAAACAAATATATTCAGTAAAGCCTTTTGGATAGGTTCCCCAGGAGACTGGCTTTGAACATACCTCCCAGGGACCTTCCATAGCTTACACTCACAGCTTCATACTCCATCAGCTCCTAAATTGTGCCAGTGCTTGGGGCCCCTTCTGTGCTCTCACACAGCTCCTGCTGCACTTGCTTCAGATATTGCTGTGCTCCTCTCCCTCATCCTCTGCCTCACCTCCAGCCTCTGCAGCCCTTCTCTCTCCCTGTCACTCCATGCACCATCCCAAGAGTCTCTGGACTCCTGGGCTTTGCTGATGAAAAGTATGGCAGAAGGTCTGTATCCACGGAAAGTTTTACTTCCTATATGGAATGACAGAAACCCCTCTCATCACACTCATCTTTGCTCCCATGAAGTCATTCATCTTCCTGCTTCTTTCATCTGGCTTCCCAAGCACAATAACATCTTCACTTATGTTAACCTTTGAGCTCTCTTGCTCTGCAGAAGTCTGGAAAATGGCTGGATTGCTCAGCTCTGGTAACAGCAGCCATAGGATCTTGCATTTCTATGCTCTCTTTCACTTCAGAAGGCCCCAAATTTCCCACATGGTACACAAAAAATTCTCTCTGCCTCTGGGAGGCCTGTGCTGCTGTCAGGCAAACAGCCAGTTCAAACAGCCCAGAGGGGAGATCTGATCAGGAAGGAGATACCGAAAACCTCTCCAGTGAAATGCCACTAGAACTTTCCTACTATAGCTTGAAAACAGCTGTGCTTCCTAAGCATGCCTGGGAAGGTTGGTGTCACCTCCCAGAGGTTTGCCCAGCCAGCACCCCTATGTCCTGTGCACTTGCTGAAATGGATCCCTGATGCACAGAAACAGCCAGAAAGTGAAGGATGGTTAGAAAATCTTCAGCCATGAGGAATGGCAAACCTCTCCACAGGCAGAGCAGCTCAGCTTCTCCCCTTACTGCTTCAGAGAGGAGGTTGAACAGCCAGCAGAAAAAAAACCTCACAGTAGTTTTTTTAAATGTTAAAGAAAAAAAAAAGGGATCCTTGACAGCATGTCACATGCATGGACTGGGACCCGCAGCTGACAGGAATGAGAGCTAAAAATAGATATCAGTGCTAATGGGCTCAGAACTGCCTTCGGTGAATGAGTCCCAAGGTGAATTATGAAATCTAACACGCGTTCTCTCCCTAACAAGTGTGTTTTCTATCAAGGCTTATTTACTTTGGTCTTCATTCCTGCCAGGCATAGGATACTACTCTCGGGTTTCACAACGAAGCAGATCTGGGCCTGATGGGGACACAGCCAAGAAGTCAACAGGAGCACTGTTATGGAGGATGCAGCTCCACACATCTCAGCAACAGCACTGGCCAAAGGAGCTTCTGGTTGTGACCCTTACCTAGACAAACTGACCCAGCTAAATTGTGATGCCCCTCGGTGACTTGGCTTTCAAATAACCTCCTGAAATCCTGCATTTGAACAACACCTGCCAGTCTACCCATGCTTATCTTGGTGATACATATTCGGGGGTGAGGATCTGATTGCTTTCATCCAACCGATGCCCATCTGCATCCCTATAAATCTGGTCTGGCTGAGGCATGGCAACAGAGCTCATTTCTGTTGAATGGTGCTTGTGATGGCTTTGTCCCATCTGTTGGGAGGATGGACAGCACCTGATCCAGAAGAAAAGACAGAGCAGCACAGGCATGAAGCCTGACTGTGCATGAATTGTTGTCTCAAAAATTCACTAAATATTTTGAAAGAACAAGTTTATACTTACTTACTCTGTGCATGGCATGGCCAGGGTGTGTTTGATCTGATGGCAGGAGCCCTACTGTGAGGTTTACCACATTATCCAGCTACAACCTGAAATGTCTGGGAATAGTCTCCCCATAGCTCAGTGCTGCCCCAGCAGACGAAGTTGGGCCTATGGGTAAAGGAGTGGGGGAAGGGGGTGCTTAATAGGCAGTTGGAGTTTTTTCTCTCCAGTTAGGATATTTTCTCCTGTTGTTTTCAGCTGTAACTACAGCTTGTTATCCAGGAACATTTTTTCTGTTCCTCCCCTCCCCGCCTCTTAAAAAATGCTTTCAAAAAGCAAATCTGTGCAACAGCCAGTCTGAAACACAGTTGTCCCCAGCCTACTCCTTATCACACGTGCTTGCCTGCATGCTGTTACTTCTCTGCTGTTCCAGGGTTTTTTTAGGAGGCAATTAATCCCCAGAGGGATTAAAATAGAAATGAAGAGTGTTTTTCCTTGGAGAGAACATTTCCGAATGACCTTCCTTCTCCTCTGCAGTGAAAATTGACCATCTTGGATGAATCGCTCCCAAAGCAACAGATTCCACTTGAAGGCTTCCGGCAAAGTCTTCTCATTACCATAGACCGGGGGTCAAGAACAGCTCAGCTGCACTGTTGGCATCCAGCATAAGTTAATGGAAACAGTGTGATCACCTGGAAATAATGAAGGTATGATAGGAAAGAAAACTTAATACTGGGATGAGCACCCTCAGGATCTGCTGGGGAAGGTCTATTTTTGTCACATACAGAGCAGTCAGGGTAGGATCCTCACTACCTCCTCTGGAAGCAATAAGATAGCTACAGTTTGCTCAATCCTTCCTCTTTTTTATTCTGGATTTCAATGTATTTTTGTAACCAGCTGTCTGAAGTCATCAACATCCGTAAACCCCTATGTACCATTACTGAAATCACGGAACTTGCACTGGTGTCAGCAGAGTCCCTTCTCATGCCTGCATGTGAAATTCCCAAATTACTACCAAATTTGGAAGAAGCACTAAGAACCTCTTCTTCCTCTCTATGCCTTATCTTTGAGTTACCCCCTTGTGTGAAGCTCTCCACTCACTGCTGTATGCACATGGTTGCTGGATCCTCAGCCAACATACGTGAATCCGTCTCCCCAACACACACACATGTGGTATGTAACAACCACATTAGGGCTCTTCTACCCATATTATCCTTAAGGATTATCCTGTCTTCACTCATATCAGTGAAATATTAACATCCGGACAATCAGGCAAGATCTAGTTGTTTAAATATATGACCACAGATATCTTACAGCTACAGCTGTATAAATACAGCTACATAAATACTCTCTTGCCTGACCACCTTTCAGGCTTGAATAGGCTTGTCCTGCTGTCTAAGGAGAGCTCAGCAATGCTATTGTTCCCAGGGTGTCTCTGGGGCTTGAGGCCTGATACCTCAACATCTCAGCTGTGCCCTAAAGAAGAGTAGGGAGCTGGCTCTGGATGCTCTCCAGCAGCAGACTGGGAAGGGTGCAGCAGCCCCCAGGGACAGGGCTTGGATGCTATGCTCAACAACACAGGGAGAGGCATGTATTTTGCCCAAGGTTTAATGGAAATTAACTGAATCGCCAGCAGATCTGGGGAGCAGTTTAGGACACGCCTTGTGGTGCCATAAGTATGTGATGGTTCAAAACGGATGAGAGAAGCAAAGCCTCCCAACCCAGCTTTGAGAAAGGCACCCTGCTAGAGTCAAACTTGAGGAAGGAGTGAGTAAAGAAAAGTCTTTTTTTCTTCACAGTTTCACTCCTAGAGCCTTGAGCAGGAAAAGGGAGGTCAGTCCCTCTCTGAATTTCGAGCTAACATCTGTGATCTCACTTTAACAAGGCCTACCCCACCTTACTGAGGAATAAAAGTGTCCTCAGATGCCATGTTTTGTGTTGCTGTTAAATAAACAGCTCTTCACAAGTCCGTGGGATGAATTTCTGCACCCACTGAGTACGGTGGTAACACAACTCTCCAGTCCCACAGAGGTGGGGTGGGAGTTGTACACTCCCAGGAGGGCACGGTCAGAGAGGTAGGTTTGATGGAACGAGATACGGCATGGGCAGGAGAAGAAAAGCCCTTGAGCCCTGTATGGCTGTGTCTCACCTCAGTCCATTGGTTTCCCTTGAAGCTGTTCCTCTTCCTGGTGCCTGTCCCTGACAGCTGGTGGGACATCGCCAGTGTATCTTGGACAGTTGCGGCATAGACTGAGACTGTTCAGCAACCCATAGCTCGCATCCCCTTTCTTGCCAGAATAAATGAAAGCACTTGGAGGCAGATAGATTTTGCTATAAATGGGAACTCTTTGATGCTCTGTGGTGCAAACTATGTCACCCTTGGAACAGGAGTGCAGAACTAGCCAAATCAGAGGTATTCCTCTGTACTCACATCATTCCCAGCTCCCTAAACTTCCTATCACCAGTCAAGGCCATGAGTTAGGGAACATAGGACGGGGGGTGAGAGGCAGGAGGAGAAGGGGTTCTTAGGAGAAGATCAAATCTCAAAACATCATATTTGCACTCGTTGGGAGGCAGTAAAGAAGCTAGGCAAGCAGGACAATTAGAGATAAGGGCAAGCAACACAGTGTTCCCAGCCTGATGTCCTGCCTTCTGGTAAAAGTGGGGGTGCAGCCCAATGCATTCTTGACATTTTGTTCTCCCAACTGATGCCAGCTCAGTTCTTATCAGATATCTCCACGGCCAATGATTTTTCACAGTGGATAACACCACTGCATAGGAAACAGTCATAAACCTCTGTCCAGGCAGCTGAGCAGAATGTTCCCTTCCTGGCCTTCATATGGGGATATTTGTGGCTTTACCTTTTCCCCTCTTCCTCACTTAGCCTCTGCCTTGCACATTCACAGCTCTGACCCACCCTGAGTTACACAAAGGCGGTGAACCTCAGACCAGATCTTTCCTCCACTCTTTGGATCCAGTATGACCTCCTCTTCCCCAAATAATGCAGACTTACCTTTAAGATTGAACATACTCTTTGGCTATTCCCTGTTGGCCAAACCGATCTTAAATTGCAGGGACAGTATGGCCAGGATGCAGACTCGGAGCTGGGGCACATCTGGAGCAAGGCTGCCATCAGGAACCAGCACGGCAGCAGGAGAGGCCATGCTTTGCTCCAGATTCCTCAACTCTCCACAGCAAGAGAATGCCCCTGTCCACCCTCCCCACTGAGGAAAGTAATTTCCATGTTCAAGGATGCTCTCAGCTTTATAGCTTCCATGAGGAAAAATTCCACAGTCTTTGCAGTGCCGGACAAGGTGGAGGTGCATCAGCTGACCGATACCACTTCAGGCTTAACATGGGAATCACCTTGCAGTCAACAGAGCCACCTCTGACAGAAATCTGACCTTGAGCATGCTGGCCTGACTTTGCAGCTGAAGTGGCACCTGAATTTCCGTCTCAAGCAGATTTTTGGCCAAATCTCAAGGATGCTTTTGCTGTTGTTCTTCTTTATGCTGAACTGTGTGCAACCAGGCTTGGTGCCACAGCACTGTGCAAGAGAGACACCCTCCTTGTTCTGTTCTATGTCCAACCCTCTGCTAAAGCAATATTTGGAGAGCTCAGTTATGTGTGCCAAAGCCAGGGGAGCTGAGGATGCAATCCAGCTGCTTCCCTTTAGATTTTGTAATCCAGGATAAGAAAGCTTTCCAGTAAGCACTCACACCATGGTGATAATGGTGACAAAAGCTCGCCCTTGCCTAGGTTAACACATGATGATACTGTTAACATGCGCACCACAGCTTGAGACTTTTTCAGGACTCTCTGGGATGAGTCCTCACAGATTAGGCAACAAGGAGTATGTTAATTTTGGCCGGCCGGCGTTAACTTTGATTTACCTTGGGCTGCTCTGCCCTTGGCTACGTGTGCCAAGGGGCTCCCCCTTTGCAGCACCCTCACTCTCAGGGCACAGAGCGTGTCCCTCTGGGGCTATCAGTAATCCTGGGGCTGTTCAGAGCCTCAGGCTCTTTGCAAGAGATTTCTGCAAGGCATACATACATATACAAATATACATATGTTAACACATATCTCTGTGCTATATGTCTGGTTTTACACACATGACACTATACTTGCACATCACTAGTGATTCTGCAGTGCTTTGCAATGGAAGGGTTCTTGAAACTGCGAGAGCAGGGTTTCTGGGAGATGAGCTCTGTGGCTAGTTCCTGAGCCAGTTTAGGCCCTTTTTGAGGTCTTTTTCAGAATAAGCAGGATAATTTTCCATTTTTTTCATTCCTCCATTTTACTGGCCATGATAGCCATCAGCAGCCATCAGTCTGAATCTCTTTTGTGCAGACTGCTCTACCACAGACCCACAGAACTGTAGTCAGTCTCATGCACTATCATATTATGGCATCAGCTGTATCCAGCCATGTTCAGATTTTCGTGGCTTGCGTGGCTTGTCTAGAGCCCACAGGTCTGCGTGCAGTAATCCTTTACCCACACACCTTGCTCTGACAGATCCTAGCTCCTTTTCTTCCAGTATTGTGAATTCCCAGCTCTGCAAACCATTTCAGGACACTATTCACCCAGCCATAGCCATGGTTTTGGAGGGGATGTGCTGTGTTGCTTGGCACAGGCAGAGTTAGTTCTGGCTCTCCAGCAGTCCTTGTTTTCAGTTCCAGCCATGGGCAGGTCTCCTCTAAGGGAGTTGGCTATGCTCCTCTTTTCCTTTCTCCTCTCCTAAAACTACCAAACCTATCAAGCACGTCAGAGCCAGCTGGTGTAAAAAGTAGGACTGTTTTTTAAGGTCTTCTTATTTGCTTACACCTTGTGGAGGCACTGAGTGAAACAGTCTTTGACTTTCCTCTGCTGCTTCCCATGGCCCCAGAGTTCCAGTGGAGCTTTAAGTGTTCCATCCTTCTGCTCTGAAGTCTTCTTGGTATGTCTGGCACTGCGTGACCATTAGAGATTACTCAACAATTCAGGTATTAATTTGCAGGACAGAGGCCTGCCTGTGGTCAATAAGGCGGTGCCCTTCTGTTTATTATATGAAAACTGTGCCCCTTCTCTGTCCCAGAAAATGCTTACCACCACCTATAACTGATGGGAACCTTTCCAAACAAAAGCCTGTTAGCACAGAACTGCCAGTTTCCAGCTCCTTGCAATAGCAAGACTATAATTGCCAGATGACATCCTGGAGGACCAAATCAGATGCCCACAATTCTTGCCTACCAGACCAGAAGAAAGATTTTTTTCCTAGCTTTGATCTGGACACTGGCTTACTTTTGAATTCATGAACAGGACACACCACAGAGATCCTTGAGAGGTTTCCCAGGTCAACCTGTACACATTCCAGCTGGTGCCTCTATCTGTGGCCAGTCTCTAGCACTTCAGAGAGTCAGCTAGAACTGTCCTAATGTTACAGGAATATGTAGGAATGGGGGGCAGTTAAGCAAGTAACTTGCAGACAGAGACAAAATCTGGCCAAACAGTATGCCTTCCTCCTGACCATGCAGACAGTAAGCACATCTGCGATGGGAAAGGAAACTTTAGAGAGTGCTCTTTGCACCTGGATCACAGCTCAAGAGAAAAGTGAAGCTGTAGCTCAGCACCTGCTTCGGGGCACCAAGCATGCACTGCTATAGGTGCCACAAGGTGTGAGGACACCAGCAGTCAGATGGTTCTGCAACCTGGC